AATGAATTTCTAGGTGGATTTCTGCAAATTAGAATTTGGTGGTGAGTGGAGCAAATACTGTTGAATCAGACATCTAGTAGATGATAATATGTTTTATAAGGTTGCAAATTTGGGTTTTGTGTGTGGGAACTAGAAATCGGAAAGGGGTTGTATATGAATCAGGAATCAGAACCACTGTGTATCTTTATATGGTATCTGAATTTTGTTTTGTTGTTTTTTTAGCGGGAACTCATATATGATTGTTAAATAGGAGCTTGTGGGTGTTTGCTGGAGTGATTACAAGGTGCAGGGGAAAAATTTTCGATCTCAATGAAAGAAAAACATAAATTTCTGGTTTCAACTTTTTCAGAGAGGGTCGCTATAAGTTGGGTAGTGGCGGTGGAGGAGACCTGCGGTGGTGTTAGGGGAGGATACTGACAGCGGTGGTGGTGTTGCAGGTGTGGGCAATGACCATGTGGGGTGACTATCGAGATGGTGGGACCATGTTCTCATTTTATTAATGTTTTTCAAATTTAATTTAATAATAAAATCTTATTAAAGATATAAGGAAGGGTAATGTGGTCATTTCAAGTCAAGAAGGGACTAAATACGAAACAAAAACAAATTGTAGGGATGGTCCGAGTTAAAAATTCTTTCTAGGGACCAACCACGCAGATTACCCTAAACCACAGGACCATTCGTGTAATTTACCCTAATATTTATGTATGTTGGAAGGAGACCGATATTGAATATTGGAAAGGAGTTTGGAGACAATTGTGAAAACCAAACACTATATCAAGATTCTTGTTCAAAGTGTAAGGTGGAGGAGGAAAAGAAAAAGTGTATCGTGAAGAGTGAAATGGAATCAAAAGTAGGTTTTCACTTCATTTAGTTTTTTCTTCTATTTTTGAAAGACCCAAAAATATTTGATTCCCCAAAATTAATATATACTACCATTGTTGACATCGGCAATGACGAGTTTTGAATGACTTCATATTTATGTCATCCAGATGCGTGAAGTTTGCTTATTTACTTTGTTGTATTAGTCAAGATGACAACTCAATCTCCCTAGATTGTCCATGGTTGGAATCAGGTACCAATCTTATTTTATATTTCCTCTTTTGAGTTCCATTGGCTTGAATGAAAAAAATGAGATATATCATATATTCCTTAAGGGGTGTGCAAGTTTGCGTTTGTTACATAGGATAGGACTAAAAAGAACAGAAAAATAGTTAGAGCTATATTCGATGATGAAGAAATTAGTGTCTTTTGCATTATAGATAGATTGAGAGGGAGTTCCTTTCTCATAAGACAAAAAGTTACAAAATTTTATCCCATTAACGACAGTTACACAAATAAACCTAAGTCATTAGGGATTTGTTTCTACATTAAGTTATGTTAAAAAAAAAAATTAGACCAACACACTAAATATGCATGCATCTTGATGTTGTAATCGCCTCCAAAAGAATCTTTCGTGCAACACACTAAACATGCAATAACTTTTCATTTACTCCTTATTTCAAAAAAGTTTACTCCTTCCCCTAAACAAGAGCTACGTTCTCCATAGATTGTGGTTTAATTTCTAAAAAGTTTATTCCTTTCAATTTCACAATCATTTCACAACAAAAGAAAGTGCCTTTTACCTTTTCATACTTTCAAGCAATTAGTTCCAGTAACTGATATACCCCACAAAATAATTCCCACTTTTTCCTTTTTGTCAAGATCCTTTCATATACGAGATTTCCCAACACAATTTATATAAAGACGCACGCGGTTTTCTGTATATATATTATTCAAATCCACTCTAAACATATCCATCCATTCTACATTTCTACTCAAAGAAAAAATTGACGTGTGAGAAGCTTATGCAACTTAGTAGAAGCTTCCAAAAACTCTCATCGTTCCCCTTATCCGGAAACGATGTTAGATCAAGCAGTTCCATTTCATCACCGGTGAAAAAACCCAGAAACCCTACCCCAAAGAAGCCAAATAGCCTCCATGTCGATGGTTTAGAAGGAGGAGGGAACTATTCTTTCATCAAGATTCAGGAAAACGACCACCGTGACATTAGAATCTCAGATGATGCAAGTTGGTATAGTGGTATGCTAACGAGTGAGTTAAAAGCTTCTGTCACAAATCTTAAGGCTTCAGACTATATACGGAGGTTCCATGAGAGGAACAAACATGAATCTGTTTCCTTGGTGTTGCCTCCACCACCGCCGCCACCAGCTCTTCGATAAGGCAGGTTTCAGGGGAAGTGATTATTAATGGGTTTAATTTGTTGAAATTAATTGTCATCTTTTATCAATAATGTCGGTTTGATAGTTAATGGAAACATAAAAAGTAGAATGAATATGGAAGTGGCATCTTTGCGCTTCTTTTTGTGGCTTTCTTCTTGGCTCTTGCGTTCTTCTTTCTTTGGAGAAAATTGTTTGGGCATTTCACATTTGACGTATTTATAGGCCAGTTTTGAGGTTAGAGAATTAATAAATTTATAAATTTATGGTAGAGTTTTTTACTTTCTGTTCAATCGGTTTCCTTTTCGGACCATATTTCAACATTCTACTAAGTAAATGATTAAATCGAACCAAACTCAGAAAGAAGAGTTGTTTGAACCGGAGATCATCATCTCTACAATACAATTCCTTAAGTCTATCTTAATCATTAGCAGTTTCAAGAGAACTCACCAATCTTAAGATGTCTGGTGGAAGGGCAAAACACAACTCTCTTTTAGCTCTTAAATTGTTTTGCAAACGATCCTTTTGATCTTTTGGCTCTTAAATTGTTTTGCAAACGATCTTTTTGATCTTTTGGAATGTCTTTGTTATCGGCAATGATGTTATCAAATTCCTCGAGTTTTAACAACTATCTTTGTTTTTGAATATTTGTAAGTTTTGAGAATGATGAAGCAAGATGCTACTTTTCTTAAATAGTATTTATATCGACAGTTTAGAAAACTGCTGATTATCTTTTAGTTATCCGCAGTACTCTAAACTGCTCAGGGTAGTTTCTTTTTGATCGTTGATCGTTTCTTTTTGATCAAGGTTAATAAGCAATTATTAATATTACTACGAGCATCATTATTTATTATTTATTTATGATTTATTTTTATTTGTAAACAAATTAAATAAATTTTCTAGTAGCATGTTAAAAGATAAATCCGTAATATAGAAAACGCAATAATAATTGTGTTTAAATGCAAATATAAGAAAACAAAATTTGAAGTAAAATTTTTAATGCATTTAATTTCTATTTTTAAAATTCCTTTTACTACCATGAAAAAAATTATATTAGTTAAGTTTTTCTTTAAATTTTCTTTTTGTATAATGAGAAAATTGTGTTTTTCTTAATAACATCGAAGTTAATTGAAAACTCCCACCCTAACAAGGAGCTAGAGAAGGTAGGAAAAGCAAGAGTTACATAGAATTTATAGCCATTTGAGGATTTTTAATCCTCTCGGTCTAAGATACATTTAAACAACTATATGATCTATGAATTGTAGCTCTAAAAGAAGAAAGCACGACATAATCAAAGATCTACCCCTCCTTCGGCTTGTCGGCTTTAAAACGATCATATTTTTGAACCGCCAAATAACAGAGTAAGTCATCCCGACCACCACAAGGACCACCTTTTTTGATCACACGTTCCCTTTTAGAAAATTATGTATAGTATGTAGTTTAGATTATTGGATATGAGTTTAGATTTTTGTATTATAGAGTCGACATGCAGTAGCAGCTGTAACGAAAAAACTCTAACCGTAGATGTTCTTAGTCATTTCTCTTTTTTATTTTATAGATCTTTTCTATACTACAAAAATACGATCGAAAGAGCTAAAAGAATAAAAGAAAAGTTATGTTTATCACTACTACTAGCTTATTTTTTGATTTTTTTAGGTTTTCATATAGAAGAACCAAAAATAGCTTAAAGAAGTATGTTGATTTTTAATATTAAATTTAATATATTTTTTATAATATGTTTGAAAATGACTAATCTTTTAATTTAAACTTATTTAATTGTTTACTTTATTTTAATTAAACATATACATTTAATATGAATTTTTACAATATAATTTGTTTTTAAAAAAGCGATAATAGAACAAGTGGGAGTGGGAGATGAGACTTTATTTTGATAATTCAGAAAGTCTTGTGTAATTTGAGAGAGAGAGAGAGAGAGAGAGAGAGAGAGAGAGAGAGAGAGAGAGAGAGAGAGAGAGAGAGAGATGATGATCCGTACATAACAGTTTTTAGTCATACATAACAATTTATTTTATATAACTGTATAGTACAACCATCTAATACATAAATTATTTGTACCACTAAAAATTGTAATTTACACATCATTACCTATTTTAAAATCATTATGGTATAATGATAATTACCCATTTTCTATTGAACTCCAATCCAAAGATTACTGATATAAATACAATACACAAACGCCATGGGCAGCTATACAATGTGGCTAAGCATACAACACGGGCTAAATATACTAACAAATTAACAATATGCACGCCAGCACGCAACCAATACAAAAGAGCTTTTAGATAAACTTTAACTATAATACTCCGTATTTATGTATGTTGGAAGGAAACTAGTAGGAAACGTGTTGGGAGACAATTGTGAAAGCAAAATCTAATTCCAAGAATATTTTTCAAAGTCTAGCAACCTAGAGAATAAAATGGAATCAAAAGTTGGTGTTCACTTCATTTAGCTTTTGCTTCTATTTTTAAAACTGTTAGATGTATATCTGTATATATTTTATATTTAGTTTGTATTTGGTTGGGCTGTCCAACATTGTATTTAGCCCATTATGTATTATTGTGGTATTAATATACGTGAGAGGCTCAACCAATTCATGGGAAAATATTCACTCTAACATGGTATCAGACTATTCTACCTTCTAACCCTAGCCGATCCATACCTGTGGTCGTATTTTTCTCACCTTTCACCTCTGTTCTTCATCTTCTCTCTTCTTCTTCGTCACAATGACCGGAGAGTCTTCTAATCCCAAACCTAGTCCCAACGATAAAATCTACGGGATAACCAATATCAAGTGTTATGTCCCCCTTCTTCTCGATCTCGACCGCTTGAATTATGATTCCTGGAAAGAGCTTTTTAAAACTCACTGCATTGGATACAAAGTATATGGTCATCTTGATGGGTCTGCTAAAATTGAAGATGATCCAGAATGGGAAACAGTGGACAATATTGTAAAACAGTGGCTATATGGAACACTTACTCAATCTGTTCTCCAATCTATTCTCAAACCCAACGCCACTGCAACAGATGTTTGGAAGACTATTGAAGACCTGTTTCATGAGAATAAAGAGACTAAAGCCATGGAATTAGATGATGAACTTCGTTCTATCACCATTGGCGATTCTACAGTTATGGAATATTGTACACGTATCAAGTCCATCTCTGATCTTCTTGCTAATATTGGATCTCCGGTACCCGAAAGAAACCTCGTTATTTATGCCATCAATGGTTTATCTCAGAAATTTGCCCATGTCGTCACCACCATTCGACATAAAAAACCATTTCCTACTTTCCTTGAGATGCGCTCCATGTTAACCCCTGAAGAACAGTCCATGGCAAAAGATCATTCCCGTCACGTTCAAGCCTCACATCAAGACAATGCATCTTCACCAACCATTCTCACCACCGAGCACCAAAATCGCCCCTCTCACTCTCGATTAAACAACTCCGGAGGTAGAAGTGGTGGTCGGAATCAACGTGGCGGCGGCAGGGGAGGTCGGAACGGCGGGAGAGGTGGCGGCAGGCAGGGACGATCTGGAGGCGGAGGTTTCGCTCGCGGTCAAAATTGGGGGGGATATTCTCCTTGGATGACGTCGTCGCAGATTCAAGGTCAACAACAGCATCGTGGGCTGCTGCCTTCTCCACCAATTCAACAATCCCCATGGCCCAATAGTCATTACTCAAATTCTCAACACCAATGGCCCAATTCGAATTTAGCCCATCAGCAAGCTCTTTTCTCCATGTCTCAGCAGCCCAATAATCAGTCCAACAGTTGGCAATGGTTTCAATACCCGAATAATATGGATCAACCGACCACTTTACCTCAAACATTTAACACTATGACTCTTCAAGACCCAAACAATGCAGATTGGTATATGGACACCGGGGCAACCGCTCATCTTCATGCCGATTCAGGTAGTCTCAAGTCCTTTAAAAATAAGTGCACTAATTCAAATATATCAGTTTTAGTCGGCAATGGGTCTCGTATTCCTGTCACCAAAATTGCTCACTCTACTCTTGCTTTAAACCCTTTTCGCACCCTTATTTTAATAAATGTTCTTATCACTCCCCAAATTATTAAAAATCTTGTTTCTGTTCGTCAATTTACTCGTGATAATAAATGTTCTATAGAATTTGACGAGTTTGGTTTTTCAGTGAAGGATTTTCTCACCAAACGCACCCTCCT